AGGCGGCGCCTTAAAATGTTAATCTGCTATAACACGATTACTGTCAGTTTATATGACAGTAATCTAATCTAGTTTACAGATTTTCGCTATCTTGACAAATATCTTAAACATTTAATAACCAAAACTGCATAAAATTGTACTATATAATATTTTAATAAATTATCTCAAGAACTAATGATTAGTTTGAGTTAAATCAGATAGCCAAGCAAAAGACTGGTAGTACAACAGGGGAAAATATATATTTACCACTATATATATAGTGACCGATTTATACTTTAAACAGTATATGTGTGAAACAAAATTCTTGATAAAATATTTTTCACTTTTCACATTATATATATAGAGGGTATAAAAAAAATTGGTATAAACATAATATATAAATATAATATATATAATAAATATATATGATAATATAATAATAAAAAGTATTACAATATGTATAATAAATATATATTATAATATATATAATAAATATATATTATTATATATATAATATATATAATATATATAATACATTTACATAAATATAATATATATAATAAATATATATAAATCGGTTCAAGAATTTTTATACTTATTTGAATAGATAGTTAGCAATTGCTAGTCTCTTTATTTATTTATTTATTTTTTATTATTTATTTATTTTGTATTATTTATTTATTTTTTATTATTTATTTAGTTTTATTATTCACAACATTTAGTGAAATTCCGTTTTAATACATTTTTTTAATGTAATTATATTTAAATGACTTATAGTTTTTATATGCTTTTTTTATTAATTTGATATAAAACTGCAGTAAATTATATAACAAAAATTATTACAACTGTTTATAATTATATTTAAAATAAATAAAAAATTGTATGCACAATTTTGCTAACCACGTGTAAAAGAGAAAATAAAGACAACCACACAGCATTGTTGTGTCAGAGAGACCTGAAATTGTGCAAAATGAACAGAAGATAAAATAAAAGAGAAAAAATTGCTTGCTGACCAATGTTTGAGAATATTTTAATTTGAAAACATAGTTTTTGAAGAAAGGGGAGTAGCAATACAGTAAGACAGTAAGAGGTGAAGAACTGAGTTACATTTTATTTACACAAAAACATCTAAAAAGCAGACGTCATTATTGCATGACAAAATACTTTTAACACAAGTTTAAAATTTCATAACAAAATTAATACGATTATAGATTAGCAAAACTCAAACTTACCTGTTGTATTAATTAGAATTTAATTGATTTAATGGAAATTATTTGTTGTTTAGCAGGTTTGTCGTTATTGTTGTCGAAGCACATTTAAGGCGCAAAAAATATATATATATATGTATAAAAATTAAATTTATTAATAATCGTATTATACTATATATTATAAATAAAAATTTTTAAAACATACTAATGTTTTTGAATACAATATATTAAATTACAATCACTTAACAACTTTCTAATTTAATAACTAATTTAACTTTTGCACATTTATCAACAATTTTTGTTTTATTTCTAATCGCCATGCAATATGCAGTTTTTTATTTGAAGGAAAGTGGCTTTAATTGTACCCCAAATTAAATTTCTCTATTTTACGTATTTACTTTTAATTTTTTCAATTTGGTTTGCACTTTTCTACTTTGTTTGTTTTATTGTTTGATTCATAAGATTAACAACTTTCACAATTGGGTATAACGCAATAATTTGCATAATTAACCGCATATAAGCACAGCTAAGAAGTTTACTTACAAAATTTCTTACAAAGATATACAACGCTTTAATTGATTTAATGAATTAAACTTATTTTTATTTATTTAGATAAAATTTATATTGTCTGCCCGCATTTATTTATAACTACAACAGCAACGTATCGGTCTCAATCACGTTTGTTTTACGTCTGTTTAGATTTCTTTGCCCAAGTTAATTTTTGACATTTTCGCGTGTCGCCGAGTAGCAGCAAGAAATGGGTACTCTTTTTTCTCTTATTTTATTGTGCTCAATGTAAATATTGTAATTTTATATCAAGAAACAACGATACATTTACAATTTATTGAAGTATTTCAAACAGAAATTGAAATAATTTTAGATTATATTGTTTATTATAGTATATTAATATTTTAATATATATATTATGTGATGACGTCGATTTACTATCCATATAATCCAAACCGCTTGAGAGCAAAATGCCTTATTTCTCTGTACTAAAGAATTCCAAAAAAAAATTGCTGAAAGGTACAACAACTACAACTGTCATTTTCGGATGTGGCGTGATACTTTGAAAGCGATGCGCATGTCTAAAGCTGACTTTAAAAATCCATATGTGTAAGCGGGACGCAATATTGTTTATTGTACAAATAGGTAAATCATAAATGCCGTTACAAAACTAAGGGTTGCAAAACAAAATAAATTTAACAGAAGCAATGTTGCTATATTTGTGTATTTGTACAATATTTGAATCCCATAACGTTTTCTATCCAAATATATAAATAAAAATAAACACTTAAGCTGTATAATTAATTTTTATTAATAAAAAATTAATAAATATAAATAAACTCTAAACAAATAAAACAATATCAATTTATATAAAAATATCAATAAAAATAAACACAAAAACTATATAAACAGTTTCTTAACAAATATATTTTACAATAATAACCTTTAAATAATAAATAAATAATAAAAATAAATAAACTTTAAACAAATGAAACAATATCGATTTAGTATTTTAGCTTTATATATTATTTCATTTTCAAATTTATTTTACAAAGAAATTTTCCTACTATTAGTATCACCCTATTTTTTTTTAAATTATATCATAATGAAGATAGTCTCTCTTGGACCATCATATTTTTCTAGTACGTCTTAAACAATTTTAACTTTGTTAACAAATTGCTTCTTTCTTTTCGTCGAAGCTATACTGACTGGAACTGTGAACATGAATCTGATTACTATATAAACATTAGGGAATACTTCGAATATAGTTAATACCATTATCAAACCAAATTGCTCAAAATATTTATTAAGTGCTTAGAATCCACAGTCGGTAACTTTTTGCGTAGCCCCTGCGGGCGCGAGGCCGTTGGCGGTCGCCGACATCGCTGACGCCTAGCAACGCCACTGTATAGCCCCATGAATTATATATGCCAAAGGAGCCAAAAATTCTTCACCATTTAATTATATTATAACAATGCACGGTGTATGCATAAAATTGTAATTGCAGCTTCTGAAACGATCAAGAATGTTTGAAAATATCTGAAATAATTTAATATAAATTTAATGTGGATCTCATTCCTTCCACATATAGAATAAAAGTATTTTTTTAATTAACAAACCTCTCTGTAATGTAAATAAAAAGTTTAAAGATCCTATTAAGTACATACAATTTTTTTGATAAGACGATACGAGGTAATTTGATTTTCCGTCTGTCTGTTTCAGCATAAACTGCGGTCATTTAGATTTTGAACTTCACAAATTAAATGATTAAAATCTATTAATATTAAAGAATATTTTCACATATAACCTTTATTGAAATTAAATCCTTAAAATAAATTATATATTTTAATTAAAATTCAAGGGAGCCATCGAGTGAAATTGAATAAAAATATTGAAAATTTAATTACAAATTCTCTTTTTTTTATTATAACTATTGTACATATTATACATTACTACTGCAGCGAAATTTATCAATATATATGTTATCAATATAAATCATTTAATACATATATTTATATACATGTATATCATTTAGGTATATAGACTATATCAGCTATGCATCCTGATAATTGAAATGTAAATTCTTACTAAATTATAATTTAGTAAATTATTTGTTCCAAATTCTTATAAAACAAATTGACTAAAACCAAACATCTTTAAAGATTTGAGTGATCGACGAGAATTGTAATATAACTACCGTGTTATAAAAATATTACTATAAGCTGCAAAACTCTTAATATCGTGTTCTTAGTAGCTCTATGTGGAAGATACTTTAGTTTCGGAAAAACTGAGGCTAACTATTTGTTACGAATCGAATAAACACTAGCTTAACCAAATATATTAAATACAATAACATTTAGATTACATGAAAGATCATCACCGTAAACAAAAATTTGCTGCATAATTCAATTAATATTCGTACCGTCATTTTAAGATTATTGCGAAAATTTAAAATTTCTTCCAATGCATATTTAATGAAATATACATTCTACTATATTTATAGGTAAAAGGAATGTCAACAAAATAACTCTTTCAGTTCTTTGTCCAATAATACATACAGCTAAAAAAAATTTTTCTATAATAATATAATAATAACATGAGAAACGCGAAAAATTTTAATTACTATATTCTTAAATGATTTATTAAATAAAATATATTGTAATATAAATTACAGGTTATTATTCAAAAATAATAAAAAAGGAGAATATATATATATATATAGTAACCCTATATTTTATGTATCAATAGAAAAGTTTATATCAAATAATATTATAAAACATACAATAAAAATAGGCCTATTAACTATATACTAAATGTGTTTGAATTAAATAATTTTTTTTAATGATTTCATATAACTTTAATTTTTAGCACAGAAAAAATTTTTTTGATATTCACCAAAAATATATATATGAATATGAATATAAAATAAAATATATTGTTAATGAGAAATAGAAAGCTTTCTTCCTTTGCATATTTATTCAAACTAATTTTTAACGACAATTCTTAATAAAATTATTTGCAAAATAATTTTCCATACAATAGCTTAAAAATAATAAAATAAAAATAATAGGTAGACCTTTTATATTTATACGTTTGTTTGCTCTGGATAACCAGAGTATACTTAAATTATAAAGATTTTAATAATTCATATTTAATTGAAGTTTCTTGTCATAGGACAAAAATAATTTTTAATTAATTGAAGTTTAACGTTAATTTTATATTGAACTGATTACAAATAATATTTTTATATCTTAAAAGATAAATATATTAACAAAATATTTTCTTTTTAATGGAAACATGTATTACTTATATATATATATATAATATAAAGTTTTACTCTTACTTCTCGTATAAATAAGTAAAACTTATGTTGCTTAACAAAGTCATTAAATAAAGATGCATTAAATTGTTATTAATTTATAATAATAATAATCATATTTTAAAAACTAATTTCCACCAATGAAATCTTCATCAATATTTTCACTTTTGATCGCAGTACTCCTTGTATCATCTGGTAGTATACATTCATCTGCTTGTTGATCGCTAGTGATTATAATTACTTTCGTAGTTGAAGCTGCAGCAGCAGCCGCAGTTCGTGTAGTACGTTTTGGCGTTGCTTCTAATATCACTGACTTCGAAGCTATTGTTGTTGTTTGTGTCATAGTTGGAGATGTTACCGAGAGTGATCCAAAAGGCGTACCACTAATAAGAGAAGATATTGGAGCAGCTGATATCGCTGGACGTTTCGGTGGTGGTGGTCCTGTCACTGTGGTTGCCGTTGGTGGCGTATTAAACTATATTAAAAAGAATATAAAAACATTATATATAAATTATATGTAGTAAATATAAAAAATCTCGTAAAGATAATAATAATATATAATCATATTGTTCAATTATAAGAATTCCATCATTAATTTAATTTTAAAATTAACAACTAGGACACAATTTCTTTTAACTGTGCAAAACACATAAATAAGAAATTAAAATCACGTTTTTTAAATACGATAATTTAATTTGTAGACTAATACAATATCACTTTTTTTTATTGCTAAATTAAAATTAAATTTTTTATTGCTAAAAATTAAGTTGGCTATCCGCATTTATATCATTGATCAATTAAACAATTTAAAATTACCTGACGATAAGGTAAGCAACTCCGTTGATTACTTCTTAAGGATAAAGATGTATTAGTTGATTTAGATGGAATCGGAGTAGAGGACTGTAAAGGCGGTTTAGCATAAAAAATACGTGGCGATTCTTGAGCGGGCAGTTTCAAATTTTTAGTTGTTGCATTTGATTTTTTTAATAAATTCTTTATGGTTGAGGATCTTAAATCTGGAACTGTTGATGAAGGCTCAACACGTGTTGACATTGTAGGTTTCGTTACTTGGGAAGTTGAAGATACATCTTGATATTTGAAGCCTATTATATTTTGATCAGCATCAAGTATAGGCAAGTACTGTTCATTGTTTTTATGTTGTTCCTTTTGAGGTTGTTGTTTTTGTACTGGCATTTTTCTTTGCTGTTGGGGACGTGGTGCTTTCGCCTTTCTAGCCATATCGTTTACAATCTCTTTTTGCTGTGGTGTGCTTGTTTTCACAGCAGTTAAAGATGTTGTAGGTTGAATAGATGGAATAATTGGTGGTGGAGTGTTTAATGTCAACATATATTCTTCCATGAGGCGGACAGCACAATCAATATCTTTTGAACTGAATTTGTTTAAATTTGATAAACTATCAACAACGCGTTGCCGTTCGCTAAAGGACATTTTTGATAAATTAAGTTGGATCAATTTTGTTAAGGTTAAATCAAAACGTTGTACACTTGAACGTAATAGTGAGCGCTGATATTCGGGTAAAGAAACTGGAGTTTTTAAATTGCTGGTAGTTGCAGGAGATGGGGGTGTATCAGCTATATTTGCCGATTGAAGAGATTTAATATTTTTGGGCGTTAGTGTTGTTGTCGATGGTAATTGTCTTTGCAAAGCATTAATTGTAGATGATAAATGAGATGGTTGTAATGGTTGTAAAGCAGGCGGGCCTTGTGTTGAAGTGGCTGGTGTGCTAGAACTAGCAGTAAGCATTTCTACCTTGTGCCTTATTGAAGCCGGAATTGAGTTCTTATCAGTTTCTAAATCAGCACGTGTTATCAATTTAGTAGTCATCACAATATAAGCAGGTAGTTCTCGCACAACTGCTTGTGTCCTAGCATGTATACGTGTTGGGTCAATTGCTGGCATTGGGCCATCCAAATTAGGACAACAATAATCTAATAATACACCACCATAACCTCGATTATATTTTGCGGGATGTAAGAACGAATAAAGACGCGTACCATTCGCGTCGACAATAGTAGGAGATATACCAGTTGTAGTTGGTAGTGTAGCAACGGGAGATTGCGTCGATTGGTGACTCGAAGGTAAAATACTTGATGCTGTAGAGGGTAAAATACTTGTCGGAGTTGAATTTATATTATAAGCACTTGAACTATATTCTTCAATTTCTTGTTTTGGTTCTATAAATGGTAAAACTTTGGGGCTTGTAGTATTTGGAGTTCTTATATTCAATGTTGCAGAAGTAGAAGCATTAATTCTTGCAGTGAACTCTTTGTTTGGCTCAGTTAATACTGAGCTTGGCAAAGTTGATTTGGCATTTATTAGTGACGCTAACACTGGTGATTGCGTTGGTAATGCTGGTGTCGAAACGTTTTTATCCAATTTATTTTTAGGTTTATCTTTATTCTGTGCCTGTAGTGTCGAAACGCGTTTAGGTAACTGCTGTTGTAATGATTTCGTTTCTTCATCAGTTACCTGCTTACGTAGAGTAGTGAAAGCAGTTGCTTTTAATGGTGTTAAAAGATTACCGTCTTCGTCATCCGTTTTAACACGTTTATTAACTTTAAAAAATTAATTAAATAATAAAGAATTATATAAATAAATAAACTTCTAATATAATATGTATTATTGTATAAAATTTACCATCTTCTGGTTGATGACTGGATGTTGGTGTATTAAAGTCTGGCAACTGAGGTTGCTGTTGTTGAAAGGAAAGTACTCCCTTCGACACTTCAGAAATCCTTGTACGCAAATGTGTATTTAATTGTGATAATCGCACCAATGGCGTTTTTTCTGCTCTCCTATCTATTACCTCCTTTGAAGCTGCAGCCGCTTCAACAGCCTTTGAAACAAATGAGGTACCAGCTGAATTAGCAAGTTCTGTTTTTGCTTCACTCGTAGTTTTAGTTTTCGGTAAAACAGTTTTTGGTAAAACAGTTTTTGGTAAAACTGTTTTTGGTAAAACAGTTTTTGGTAAGACAGATTTTGAAAAATGTCCTTTCGCTGAAATATTTTAAAATATTTATTAAAATATCATTAAAATGCAATAGAAAAATATACAGTGCTCAGTTGAAAATATAAATATTGGCTGGCATGAATACATTTGTCTACAACGTAAACAAAGTTTTCCATTTTAATATTGGAATTTATTTGTTTATGTTTTCAAAGAAGCACTGTCATCACAAAAAAAACTATAAGCTAATTTTGAATATGGCACATATTAATATCATAACTTTTTAGAGTATTTTTAATAATATAGTATTGCTTAGGTAATAAGTATAAGACTTATATAAGTTTTTCAAATTACATTTTGCAATTACTATAACATTATAAAAATAAAAATACAGATTAAAAAATTATGAATGTTTGAAATAATTACCATCTCGTTCTAGATGTCTCGATCTGGATCTAATGGTAGATGAAGTGTTTGCAATTACTTCCAGTTTATTGGTGATTTCGATAGTATTATTTATAGTCTTTAAATATTTATCCACTATACTACGATTGATTCGAACACGTAGCTTCTTTAATTGCTTCGGTTTAGAGATATCCTATAGAGAATGTTATAAGATTGAAAAAATTATAAAATGTTTGATTCTTTGTATTGCATTTTAACTTACATGTTGACTTTGCTTTTTATGTTTTGCAGATTTGGTTTTTATTTGAGAAACACATGATGCAGGCCTTTCTGGTATTATGCGACTTTTAATAATTCTAGTTCTTTCATTTGGGACAGGTGACACTACTGATAATGAGCTCTTTGTTCTTAACTTTCCTTCGCTATACATATTTTCAAAACCACTTTCTCTCATTTCTAATGGCATAGAAGCGCGAAGAATGTCGATTTCTTTAATACGTTTAGGTTTTTCAAAATCAGAAAATATTTTAATAGTTGAAACTTTGCTAGAATCAACTTTTTCTTTTCTATCTCCTTCTACACAAATTTCTATTCTTTCGCTGGTACTACCTAAAGCTTCTTCTGCTACTACTGATTGTAATTTTTCTGTTGAAACATTAGCTTCGTTTGTATCTAAATGGTTCATTTTTGAAATTTTTTCTGAATTTTCACCATAATTAACAGATTTTGCTTCTTCATTACCTTGGACTAAATAATCAATATTCTTTGGATTAATGGAAGTTTCCGATGCAGTTGAAGTATCTTCATCAACATAATTTAATGTTCGGTCTTCCAACGATTTAACTACATCTATAGTTATTATTTTAGATCGTAAATTCTTTTTATTTGAGATGTCTTGTTTGCAATTATCCAAATCCTCTAAACCAACTTTCAGTATGTTTTCGGTTAGCATGTTAAAATTTAAAGATTTGTCTTCTTCAACTATTGACGCTGCTTGTGATCTCGTTAATTTCCTAGGCACTACTTCTTCATTAGAATTGCGAGAAAATATTGTGTCACTTGTTTCAATTTCTGGGCATATCTTTTTCGAGCTTTCCAAAGGACTTTTTATATTTTTTGCTATATCCGCAGACGAATCCTTATCCTTTGATTCTGACAAATTAGCGTCAACTATAGACAATGAACTACTAGATCTAGTTTCTCTTACATATGTTGTATCAGAATTTCTTTCAGTTGTTTTATTGCATGATAACAACTCACTTACTGTAGATGATGGAACCATTTCAATCTCTTCTGCTGTAATCGTTTTCGAATGAAAGTCCTTGCTTTTACCGCGGACTAAAAATAAAAGTTATAAAAATTAATATTGGAAGAAAAATTTTAAAATAAAATTTTACGACTAAGTTACAGTTGCTATTAATATTAGTTACTCAATAAATTATTTTATTGATTAATAAACTAAAGATGCCAAAAAAGTTTTTACAATAAAACACAAGTTATAATGCTTACATAATTAGTAAGTAAGCATAAGTGATACAAGAAATATTGCCGTTATAATCTATTTACAAGTAAAACAAAAACTTTTTTCACTTTTTAAAATTTGAATCGGATTACTACCAAAGAACGTTCCACTTTCACAAATCTTTTCGGATTACAATAAAAAAATGTTTGATCATCATATGGTGCACAAGCATCATATGGTGCTCAAGCATCATATGGTGCTCAAGCATCATATGGTGCTCAAGCATCATATGGTGCTCAGGCATCATATGGTGCTCAGGCATCATATGGTGCTCAAGCATCATATGGTGCTCAGGCATCATATGGTGCTCAAGCATCAAATGGTGCTCAAGCATCAAATGGTGCTCAAGCATCATATGGTGCTCAAGCATCAAATGGTGCTCAAGCATCATATGGTGGTGATCAAGCATCATATAGTGGTGCTCAAGCATTACATGATGCTACTCAAGCATCATATGGTGTCGTCATATTCAAGCATCACGGTTTGTTCAAGCATTATAGTTTGTTTAAGCATCGTATGGTGTTTAATCATCTTCTGATATTCAAGCATTTGATGTTGTACATATAAACAATAATATATATAATATGGAACATAAAGCAAAGCAGCTGTTCGAAAAAGTTGAACGTTTAAGGTATTTTGTCCAAATGTTCGAATTCGAATATACTCTAACTGCTCTGAATTATACTGATTGACCGCTTTGAAAAACTAGGGTAAAGGCTGAATAACTTGAGCTGTACGAAATCAGCTGATTTATTCTACCTTGTGGAAAGCAATGCATTTGAGTATTTATGCCGAACTAAAAATAATGGAAAAAATAAAAACAAATTGAATTTTAAAGCAATGTCAAGATCAATACATTGAACTGTATTAACAAAAAGTGGTGTTGATACCAAATATGAGTTTAAAAATCAGCTATTGAGTATACATTAATAATATATTCAAAGGGTTTATAACTCTACTCTTTTAAATGCATATTTGCATGCAATAAAAAAATTGTATCTGCATTTTTAAAATTTAATTAATCTATTTCATATTTGAAAAAAAAAAAGAAACTCACTTTCACGACGAATACCAAGTTTTTGACGCTTTACTGGATGTTGGTCTTCATTACCTGAAACTATGTGATTAGTTTTTATTTATAAAAAAGTCTCATATATAAATGTATACTTTTTGTTGCAATACTATCCATTAAAGCTGCAGAGCGCTTCATAGGTGCTGGAGAATCTATACGCACATTTAAATCTTTTCTTCCAAGATCTGCATTTGTGGGCTCTTTAAATATTTTTCTTGCATCTGTTGGAAAAACAAAAATTGTTTTTTATCATTTCTATATATATACTATATTTTTCAATACCAGTTAATTCCATAGGCGAATCCGTTCCACGTTTCCGCAAGGACCGTCGTGAAGGATCAATTCCTTCAATTATGTTTGACTTATCCATACCTTCTTGTTCTCTGTGTTTGCGACTATGCTCTTCGTTCAAGGTTTTTGGACTGAACATGGTGTTGATTTGTGAAGTTTCAGTGGTACTTTCTATTTTTGTTTTCAATTTAGGAGATATATTAACAATTACGTCCGCTTTGCCCCTTAAATTTCTCATTCCTCTTATTGGTTTAGTATTATTCTTATTAACTTCTTCATTATTTTCCATCAAATTTTTATCAATTTTGTCAGATTTTAATTTAGTTTTTGCACCATCAGATGTTTCAGTGGGATTACTTGAATTTAATTTACTTTTTTCAATATCCTCAGTATTATCAGCTTTTTCTAGTTTTGATGATACAGTTTTTGTGGTTTTTAAGTCAATTTCATCTTTTAATTGTTCTACATGTTTTTCAATTTTTTCATCACCGTCTTCTTTGATGACACTGTCATTTTTGTCATTATCTGTAGCTTTATTAATATCCTCTAATGAATTTTTCGCTAGCTTAACACTACAAACCAATAATGTAGATCCCATCAAATCCTTTGTAACTTTCACAATTTCATCTTCTTTGTTTGTTTCATTATTTTTATTAATTAAAGGTTCCTTTTCAATACTTTTAGTGTTTGTAGCATTAGCTGTCGATGTATTGACTTTGCTCGTTTCTTCACTTTCTATTTCTTTGTCTGAATTCTTAATACTTCGAGTATTAAAATCTCTTTTAATTTTAGTTACTACTGGAATAGATATAGCATTTATTTCTTCTACTTTATTATCAACAAGTTTATCTTCAGATACCGGATTTGATGTCCCTTTTTTAATATCTTTATCAAAAGAATTATCATTTTTTTCTGAAATATTTAGATCTTCTTTCTCCGTTTTTGATTCTTTCTTTTCTCTTGCATCTTTTTCGGATTGAAGATCTTTAATTTCTTTTTCTTCTTCAGATCCTTGTGTTTCAGCAATTTTATTTGCAATGGATTCCAAGCTTGATTTCTTAATTACAATTTTTTGTGGAGTAGTTTGATTTTTTTTAACATTAAGTGTTACTTTTGGTTCTGTTTTACTTAAAGTATCAGTTTTATTTTCTATTTTTTGAACAGGAGTTTTATGCGACTCTCTTGAAGTGTCTCTAACAGATTTTTGATTGGTTTGCGGATTTTCATATGGCATTGGAAGAATTTTAGACTCAGATTTTTTTTCTGAAAATTTATTTAGAATTTTAATGTGAGGTTTTATCTCATTTTTATCATCACTTCCCTCAATATTAGTTTGTATTGCTGATTTTTTGTTTTTTGAAGTACTGCTTTCAATATTTAATGTAGGTTTTATAGTTGATGACGGATTCGGCTCCTTTATTTCTGACTTTCGAAGAGAAATTTTGTCAGTTTTAATATTAACGGCAGTAGTTAAAGTTTCCATTTTCATAGTATGAGAATTTGAACGTCTTGAATCTTTGTTCTCAGTTCCCATCCTAACATTAGTTGTTTGGGAATCGGATTGTCGTGTTTCTCTATTATCAGTTTCTAACTTTATATTGATTTGGGAGTTTGATCGCCGTAAATCTTTATTCTCAGTTCCAATTTTCGTATTGGTACTTTGAAAGTTCGATCGTCGTGATTCTCTGTTGTCAGTTTCTATTCTTGTGTTGATTGCTTGGGAATTCGATCGTCGTAAATCTTTATTCTCATTTTCTATTCTCTTATTGGTAGTTTGAGAATTCGATCGACGTAAATCCTTATTATCAGTTTCTATCCTTGTGGTGGTTGTTTGTGAATTTGATCGTCGTAAATCTCTGTTTTCAATTGATAACTTTGTGTTGGTTGTTTGCGAATTCGATCGTCGTGAATCTTTATTCTCTGTTTCGACTTTCATTCGGGATGGTGATTCATGTTGATTGAACACGGGTTTTGTGGTTTGCTTTGGAATAATCCCTTTTCTACCTTGTTCAGTTTTTTGTTGAGATTTATTCAATTCCACTTTTTTACCTTGGATTTCTTTTCGGTTTTGCGTTGGAGATGGTTTTCCAACTGAAAATTTTTCTTCACTACTCATAGAAGAAGATCTGGACTTACTTAATTGTTCCCTACTAGGTGACTTTTGAAATGATTCTCCAAAAGTAGGTTTTTGTACATCCTGTCCAGATTTATGTAATTTCTCAACAGGTTCTTTAAATTGTTCTCTTGTTTTAACCTGAGTATTTGCTCTTTTAGGTGATTCTGAAGGGTTTCTAGTTTTTGAAGGTGATTGAGCTATACTAATCTCAATTTTTCTACCTCTATGTGGTTCACTCGTCACTACAGAAATATTTGTTGAAACTTTTTCTTTAGATCCCTTGGTATTCTTTGACAACATTAAGATTTCATTAGCTGTCGGCTTATCAGTTTTTTGATTACCTATAGTACTTTCTTGTACCTGCTGTGATACATTCCGACTGTCTTTAATAGTATCCTTTTTATTATTTTGATCATCTTTTTTTCTCGGAGTAGTTTTGTTTTTATCTTCTCTGTTCTCCATAAACTTTTTGGTTGTGCTTTGCAACTTCAGATTAGCTGAATCTTCATCCTTTGAAGAACTATAACCTTTACTTTCGTTTTTTTCTTCTTCTTTAGACTTAGATACTGATAACTGAATTTCAGTTTTAGTGCTCATATCTTTCTTTTCGTCATTTTTTTCTTGTTTATTTTTTGTTCTACTTTTTTCTACTTCGTTTATATTTTTTTCAACTATATTAGAAATATTTTTTGTTTCAACATTACAAATCTCTTTTACGCTCTTATTTGTAGAAGTCTTTA